GAGAGGGTCTCTGCCCCCATGAGAATCCATTACCATCCCTATTCACTTGTATATTTATAACTTAAATTCAACATATTTTATTTTTATTATAAAAAAATTATTCTTAAATCACTAGCAATATTATAAGTTTTCACACCACGAGGAGAAATTGTTGGTAAGGCTAAATGGACACTCTGTTCACCCAAGTCAGGTGAAGATAGGCTTTGCTTTTAAAACTTGTTCTCTTGACAAGCTTTACTCTACCTTCATGCAATGTTGTCTGTAAATACCAAGACCATTACACAAGCATTAGGACTTTGCTTGAGCAACAAAAATGCTGAGGAATTGTTGATAAAAGTTAACGTCACTGGTCACTGCTCATATACTGTCTCCCCTTTTTCTGTTTCAAGAAAAAAAAAAAAAAGGAAGACAGGGAATTTAAAAATTCATAAAAATTATCTTCTCATATGCTCTTATTTTTAAGTTATATTTAATTTGAAAAAAAAAAACCAAAAGTAAGGAAAAATAAATTTTTTAATTAATTAAATTATAATATTAACCAACATCATAATTTAATCTGTTTTTTTTAAAAAAACCATATTTTCCTTTCTCTATTTTTCTCGAACTAAACACAGTCTAATTAAGTTAAGCATTTAACTTACACATGGGACAATTAAAAACAAGAAAAATACTCCTCAAATTAAGTGTTGTTTTTATATTTTAAGATAAATTAATTTTTTTATTTATTTTGTCAATAATTTAAATAATTTAGTGATAATTTCTTTTTAATAAAAATAAGAGGTCTTGAATTCGAATCGCATAACATATGGGTACGGTTGGATAAAAGATGAAAGAAAATTATCTCTCATTATATAACCAACATAAAAAAAAATTTTAAAAAAAAAAATCTCTCCCATTTTAACCTTACACTATATTTAAAACTTAAAACTCATATTTAATAATCTACCATATCAACAATATCTTTTCAATTAAGTGTTGTCTATGCTTTTTTTATACCGAAATATATATATATATATATATATATATTTTACTGAAAATTAGTCCCGAAGTAAACAAATTCTTAATATTTAATTTAATTTTTTATATAAATAAATAAACAAACAACACTTAATTTAAAATTGAGTCATGGAAGGGGTACATTTTTAAGATGCATTATTTTTTTCATTTTCATTTTAAACATTGTAGTTAAATCTCACATTTTTTTCCTGTTCAACAAAGCCTCACATTTATAATCTAAATTGTCAACAATATCTTCTCTTTTATACGTAGTAATCTAATCTCACCTCCACATTCATTGGTTTCAATAGGAATTCCTTGACTTTTCACCACAGTTCTTTAATTTCAAGCAATTTTTAGGCCATTCCTCTTCAGCTGCTTGGCTGCTTGCATTTCCATTTTACCATGTATCCCCCCTTCCTCAAAAGCATTTTCGAATTTTCCTCCTTTTTAACAACCCAACAATCTTGACGTTTTATAATTTGATCGCAATCAACAATGCCGGAGGAAAACAGTAGTGTGCCCAAGAGGAAACGTCGGTGCTGTCTTATTATCGGTGGGGTAGTTCTCCTCTGCCTCATTCTATTTTCTGTCATAGTCCTGATCTTGGCCCTGACTGTATTTAAGGTCAAGGAACCAAGGTCTCAGCTCCTCTCCACCGCCATTCGTGGGATGGCTCCTAGTTTTTATTCTCGTCAGCTAAACATCACCATTGACCTCAAACTCCGAATTGAAAACCGAAACAGGGCAAGCTTCAGGCACGGCACGGGGAAGACTTTGCTTCTGTATCAAGGCAACCAGGTTGGGGAGACTGATATCTATCCAGGTGAAATTCCTGCCATGGGATCAACCAACCTCTCCTGCCTTCTAACCCTCCAGGTAGATAAGATTGCATCCAATATAGAAGCTATGATGCAGGATGTTTTTGATGGCGAAATTGAAATGGAGACTCAGGCAAGGATTCCTGGAAGGGTCACCTTGTGGTTCATCAAAAAACACATCATTGCAAAGTCTGACTGCAGGCTTACCATTGCCGTTCCAACTTTTAATGTTCAGAAACAGACATGCAAGACCACTGCAAAGCTGTGAGATTAACTTGAATTTGTTCTGGATTCCTTTTTGGCTCTTGCAGAGTAAAATGGCTATCTTGATTTGAGAAAATGATCTAAAATACCCATCCTTTTTTCTCTTTATTTTGTTATTGGGGTTGTCAACTTGTCATAGTTTCAAAGGAAATAAGATGCCAGGCACTATTTGTACATAATGTTCTCAGAAATTTGCTTCTGTTATACAAATACTTTTTGGCAAGTGAAAAATTCTATTATTACTGCAAAAATACAAGAGTAAAAGGATTTCACAAGCTGTCTATGATCTCATTCCCAAAAAGAAATGAATTAAAAGCAAAGAAACATGTTTGGTTAACGAGCCGGTGAAGCAACTCTCAACAAAATGATTGTACCAAAAAGAAGGTAAACCTTCTCGGAAAAGGGAAGCCTTTCATGGTTTAAAATCCACAAACAGATGCATAGTCCAGCAGCCGAGCCCCAGCATAACAACCTTTAGCTAAGACACAAAATGGTTATACAGTTATTGTTACACCCGGTTTCTAGAAAGCAAACCCAACAGATTGAGCACAAGCGAACCCAGCCCAAAATCTTTACTGACATGAACAAACACCTTCCCCTTTTCATTGTGAAAACATTCATGCCACCCACACGATGGCACAAAGAGTTTTGCATTCTAAATAAGAGAAATGCTTAAGAAAAAGATCTTTTCAGAAACCATAACAACCAACCATTTTGCATGACCACAAGCTTTCTTGTAAATTACTACATTCAAGTACATCACATAAAAGCTTAATGAAGATAAGCCTTTTGCATTAGAGGACTCGAATGTTTCACATTCCCATCCAAACCAAAACAATTTTGTTAGGAAAAACAAGACGGAAAACAAGACCCCATACTCCATGCGATGGATTCCAGTCAAAAAGCAATCATACCAATAACACAATAGCACCAAGAGAGTTCTGCATTCTCAATTAAAGAACCTAAGATCTTTTCAGAAACCCTAACAAGCAATCACTTTGCAAGACAACAGACTTTCTTGTAACTGTTTCCATTCAAGGACATGGTATAAAAGCATAATCAAGAACAAATCTTTGCATTACAGGCCAGATTCTTCACGATTTTCATCCATACAATAAATATTTTGCCCGGAAAATAACAGAAAAGAAGAGTCCTAGCCATGATCCCAATCATAACAAGTTTCATTCTCTTCTACAAATCAACATCCACTAAAAGGTTGCAGATACAATATGGTAAAAAACCAATACACATAAATAATGTAACCCAAAAAGGTATGATAAACAAACAATAAACAATCTTTTGTCTAAAAGACTACAGATAGTAATTCCTATGTCAAGCGAAGAACATTTGCAGTAGTACAAATACAGTGTTAGAACTTAGAAATTACTATACAACTTACTGTTACTGCTACAAGCATGGTCAGACTAACACAGAATTCCTCTCAGAGCCAACAAGTTACAATTTAGAGGCATAGTTGTTAAACTTCAAAAATAGAATACCATTTTTTAAGCAAATTCAGTTGCCAGTAAAATGTCATATTCACCGCATATAGCTACTTGAGTCCTTTATTGTTAGAATTCCAGCTTTCTGCACAGTCCCAGATCTATGTTCCTAGCTTTCCCAGAGGGTTTGATAGGAGCACCAGGGCAAGTTTCAGCAAATCCATTTAATCGGGGAGCTGAATGAGGTGTCTTGCAACCATCATAATTCCCTTCTACTTTTGCAATTTCAGCAAAAAGATCCTCAGCCTGGTTTGTAAGAACAGTTTCCAAGATATTTTCATAAAAAGATTCAATCATTTCTTCATCAGAAATAGATTCCACCTCCATGCTAGTAGTTCCACTTCCAAAGCGTATCCTTTTGAGAGGAAAATCAAAATTCAAGCGACGTGCAACACTAGTCCTCACTTCATCAATATATTTCTTACAGAGAGGAGCTAACACCATGCCATCTGGACCAGGAGCAAACGGATCAAAGACACCATCCTTTGGTGTTTTGGGGCTGCCATTATCAATAGAAGCAAATAGGTCTCGACTTAAATCACCATCATCAAAGCAATGAACTTTTAGTGGTTTACTAACTGCAGTGATGGGAGATTTACAATCATAAGGGAAGTCTCCAATCTCTCTGTCTGTGTCAGGAGTGGGTGGCTGAAGAACATCCTTAATAGCCTCCATAGTGCAAACATCACCTGAGTTTTCCAACAATTTATTTGAAGAATCTAGACATCCACAAGCAGAACCTCCAGAATCCATATTTTGTGAAAAACACAAGGCAGCAATCAAGAAAATGGAGGAAACTAGTACACTAAGTATTGTCTCCAAAATGATGACCCAAATCTGCAAACCCTAGCTCAAATGTCCAGTCGCCAAATACCGTACACCAAAACGAAGTACTTCAAAATAAACCCAGAAAACAGAATCCTGAAACACAAACGACCCAAATGCGGGACAAAGGAAAGAAACCCAAGATGAATTCTTTATACAATATATGCAATGAAACACAGAAAGACCAATGCTTCTCTCAGAAATCATAAACACCCACTAAATGGAAACTTCTCTGTACCACGAAGAACCCAAGAAAAAAAAAAAAAAAAGGGTGTGGG